TGCAGTAAGTTCAAAGTAGAGGCTTGTGGGACAGTCAGATAAGTGGAGATTAGTGGGACAGTCAGATAAGTGGAGGATAGTGGGACAGTCAGATAAGTGGAGGATAGTGGGACAGACAGATAAGTGGAGACTGATGGAACAGTCATATATGTGGAGACTGATGGGACAGTCAGATAAGTAGAGACTAGTGGGACAGTCAGATAAGTGGCGACTAGTGGGACAGTCAGATAAGTGGCGACTAGTGGGACAGACAGACAAGTGGAGACTAGTGGGACAGTCAGTTATGTGGCGACTAGTTGGACAGTTAGATATGTGGAGACTAGTGGGACAGTCAGATAAGTGGAGGCTGGTGGGACAGTCAGATAAGTGGAAGATAGTGGGACAGTCAGATAAGTGGAGACTAGTGGGACAGTCAGATAAGTGGAGGCTAGTGGGACAGTCAGATAAGTGGAGACTAGTGGGACAGTTAGATAAGTGGAGACTAGTGGGACAGTCAGATAAGTGGAGACTAGTGGGACAGTCAGATAAGTGGAGACTAGTGGGACAGTCAGATTAGTGGAGATTAGTGGGACAGTCAGATAAGTGGAGACTAGTGGGCAGTCAGATAAGTGGAGACTAGTGGGACAGTCAGATAAGTGGAGGCTGGTGGGACAGTCAGATAAGTGGCGACTAGTTGGACAGTCAGATAAGTGGAGACTAGTGGGACAGTAAGATAAGTGGAGGATAGTGGGACAGACAGATAAGTGGGGACTAGTGAGACAGTCAGATAAGTGGAGACTAGTGAGACAGTCAGATAAGTGGAGGCTAGTGGGACAGTCAGATAGGTGGAGGCTAGTGGGGCAGTCAGATAAGTGGAGACTAATGGGACAGTTAGATAAGTGGAGACTAGTGGGACAGTCAAATAAGTGGAGACTAGTGGGACAGTTAGATAAGTGGAGACTAGTGGGACAGTCAGATAAGTGGAGACTAGTGGGACAGTTAGATAAGTGGAGACTAGTGGGACAGTCAGATAAGTGGAGACTAGTGGGACAGTCAGATAAGTAGAGACTAGCGGGACAGTCAAATAAGTGGAGACTAGTGGGACAGTTAGATAAGTGGAGACTAGTGGGACAGTCAGATAAGTAGAGACTAGTGGGACAGTCAGATTAGTGAGGGATAGTGGAACAGTCATTTTAGTGATTGTCAGTTGGACACAACCGGATAAGCATTGCATACATAGGGTGACATGAAGATCCGTAGACAACCAGTTTAGGTTAGTGGTCGCTGGATATTAGATCATCGGCTATTTAATGACGCCCTGTCCGAGGATTTTCTCATAAGATTGAGGTAGTGTCAGTTCTACTGCAGATCTCCGCCAAATCGTTTACTGAAATAATCAAGTGTTATAAGACAGTGAAACATTCCTTAATTTAAACAGATTAAATATCAAAATCTAGACACGAAAGCTCCTCTATCTCCTTAAATAATTAATTATTTTACTTACTAATTTACAATAAACAAGGCATTTAAATCTATAGCATCGTGTGGCGCTAGGAGATATATTTTTCTCTGTTAAATGGGGTTAATGTTACTTTGTTTGCTTAAATCATTTACCTTCCTCCGCACAAGTCTGCAAGAGTTGTCCCCCTTTTATTATTGCCCAATGACAGGGTCGTAATTCTCTCAGCTTCGTCTCCCTCCCTGTCTTATTCTCAAAAAATCAGTTTGTTTATGGTATCAAAGTGTTTTGATAGACAGAAAATATTGCAGTCAGTTCAATTCCGTATAAGTCAAACAACTACATGCCATACGTAGAACGTAATGACACACCGATATATCCACAACAGCTGTCACATCATTATTTATTCTAAGGAAATAACAGTGTATATAAATAACACGAATATGCTGAACAGTTATCATAATAATGTTGATGAAAAACTGTTAAAATAACTTAATAAAAGAGAGTGTTTGATGTTTTAAAGGGTCGGATCATACAACTGCAGTGACGCAAAGTTATGTCACCAATATCAAATCATTGTAAACATTTAGAATTGAGCTAGAGTTCCAGGGATGAAACAAAATACATCATTACATAAGTTAAGTTAATCAATAGTTTACCCCTGGTAAAGAGCTGAGTATATATTTATATACATTCCCGTGCTGTTAGACATCGTTTGAAACCCTTTTAACCTTGTTTATGCAAGTCATATTATTGAATATAGCGAAAGACATTAGCGACAGATGCTACCGTGTTACTGATATCACCGAGATTAACCATCATTCAAAGGATTGTTTGCTTGTCAAATTTTGAATCGGAGATAAATGGAATTGTTTTACACCGTAAACATCATTTACATATTTCACAGAAAAGAAAACGAGAAAGAACAAAAATCAGCTCAGGAAATGATAACAAACAACATACTATTAGGAATATACGATGTAACTGGAAATTGGTTAATTACTTGTGCAGATGTTAAGCTGACAATACTCACAGCTGAGGGTCCTATGTATAGCAAGTTGCGCTCTGTTGATGTATGTACAATATACAAAGCAACATATTATTGATGCTCCATAATGATATTAAAATCGCAGGTCCTTTTGTTAGATATTGCGTGTTTTGAATCCATAATTTCTTCATCTTAAAAACGAGAACATGTTATTGTGAACAAGAGACTAAATTTACTTGAGAAGAAAAACAGAAACAACAACAGGATTTATTTTAACATACCTGGATAGAATCATGGATTCACAGTATCATTTAGTCCCGATGGAGGTATAGTACATCCTCTGTTCTCATAACTGTTGTTTAACGTTCAAGCGAACCTCAGGTTACAGCGAGTCCAATCGCTTTCAAATTCGATGTTAAGTTTAACCCGTGCTCATACGGAGTTGAATTGCACATCGAAATGAATAGGAATGCATTAGGTCTCATTTGGTCGTTTTTCACAGGAAATTTGATTTGGTAATTAGTGTTGGATGATTTAAAATGCCGCGATAGACAGGAATGTAGATTATATGTTGGACAGGGATGCAGGTTATATGTTAAACACAACAATTTCAGCTAAAATGCATGTGTTTTTTTTAGTGAGTTTATGCCGTTGGGCATCGTCCGTCCGTCATTCGGTCTCAACTTTTTCTTTAAACATCTTCTTAACAACCAATGAACCAAATGTTTTGATATTTGGCTGATATATTCGTAGGATAAAGAACGACGAAGTTTGCGAAAAAAATGACCTTGACTTATATTCAAGGTCACAGGTGTCAGATTTGATAAAACCTTTAAATTACTTCTTTTCATGAATTAAAAGCTCTATAGGCATGCTATATAGCTTGTATGTTCCGAGGATAAAGCCCGACAAAAGTTTGGGAAAAAAATGACCTTGAAGTGATAAGGGTCAAATTTGTTAAAACATTTAAACGACTTCTTCTCATGAACTGAAAGGCGTAGAGGCATGCCATTTGGCTGGTATGCTTCGAGTATAAAGCACGACAGAGTCTGCGGAAATCAATAACCTTGACTCATATTCAAAGTCACAGGGGTCAAGTTGGTTAAAAACAATTTTCTCTAACTAACCATAAGTCGTAGAAGTACAGTATTCACCCGATAACTTCAAAGAATGAAGCCCAACAAAGTTTGCAAAAAGAGATAACCTTGACCCTTATTTAAGGTCAAAGTCATCAAACTAGTCAAAATCTTAACTTTAATTCTGTCTTACCAAAAGGTGCAGAAAGAAGCATTGTATTCGACTGATAGGTTCCTAGGATAATGACTAACAATGTATGTGAAAAGAAATGACCTTGACCCATTTTCAAGGTTAAAGGACGATTTTTTTTCTTCTGGTAAAAAAAATCTGAGAAACATGATATTTGGTTTCCAGAAAAAAAGAAAAGGCATGTACTTAAAACCCAGTCATAACTCTCATTGTTTAGAGAGTGAAGTGTTAGAAAATCTATGTTGTGGAAATTGGTTACAATCGATTAGGCATGCCCACTTTGAATGCCAATTGTGAATTTGTCAATTAATGTATTTGTGAAATACCAGGTGAGCAATGCAGGCCCATTAGCTGCCCTCCCTCATTTTTTTCTAGTATATAACTATTCAGTCTGTATTTGATAGATCTACAGGTGTCTAACATATAGATGTATGGCTTAATTAGGAATATCTTTAGTTATATACTTAGAACATAAATAAACCCTATCCCACACTTATCTATAAGTCATTTCTAAATTTGTATTAACCACGACAGAGTCGCACATTTGTGCGATAGAACCACACAACGTGCGCACAAATGTGCGATGGCTTATTTCGTCCAGTTTTCCTATCGTGTGAGCGCTGTATCTCCCTATTCCTATCATGAACATGGTACAGTGTGTATGTCACGCCATGGAATTGTCAGGGTATACTCAGTAGTGTCCATCGTCGTCATCATCATCATCATCGTCATCATCATCATCATCATCATCATCATCATCATCATCATCATCATCACTATCACCACCACCACCACCACCACCATCATCATCATCATCATCATCATCATCATCATCATCATCATCAACGCCACAAAGACCACCACCACCACCACCACCACCAACCCCATCATCATCATCATCGTCATCATCATCATCATCATCATCATCATCATCACCACCACCACCACCACCACCATCATCATCATCATCATCATCATCATCATCATCATCATTCCCCATTTAAGGCCCTTGGAAAAATTACTTCATTTACTAGAGAGTCTACTGTGACTGCTGAGCTAATGTCTTACAATATGTATCATGGTTGTTTAGTGTTCTATCCTGACGTGTTCGTATGTCATACCGTCTCTTCTACAATAAATTATTTTGAAAAACATGTGTTTTTTTGTTTATTAATGTACATTAAACTAGTCTAGCGTTTCCGTCCTTCTGTCTGAGCAAGCCTTTCAGTCAATTTATCGGCTCGCTAACTTCTGGCTGCACTAGGTAAATCTTTTCTATTTTCACATTTTGTAACCTTCATCTTCCAGACAATGTCGGATTTCTCTGAGACGAGCAGTATGGGCGACACGCACCAGCTTGTGGAGGAAAAGGACGATGGCCGTCTTCGCAGCAATATTCCAATGACTAGCTTCAATTTCATCAACTCAATTATCGGCTCTGGAATCATAGGTTAGTAAAGATTTTTCATCATCATCATCATCATCATCATCATCATCATCATCGTCGTCGTCGTCGTCGTCGTCATCATTATCATCATCATCGTCATCGCCCTTCATCTGTTAGTCTGACCTTTAAAAGATACACCTTATGTGTTCAGAAATTTGTATGTTGATATTTCTTGAAAAGTTTTGAATAAATGTATAATTTCACAACCAGTTTGATAATTATGATGTTTCGATGACTTCACTGTCGTCTTCATCAGATAATAAACCAATGTCAACATTACTTGCACGAGATACAGTGAACAAGATGTTAATGAAATCACAAGACATTTCGGCTCTAGTATAACCTTATATGTACACTAAGGCGGAACGTAGTGTGGCGAGATGGCGATAAGATTATAGTGAAAGCAGGACGAATCGGTGAAATTCTATGCGTACATTAGGGGATTACAAATTACTGTCCCAAGAAAAGACAAACTTATAAACAGTAGCTCTAAATACGAATTTAGAATGAGATGGGAAGGAAACTGCATCAAACAACCGCTTCGTCCTTCTAGGACACGTCAGTAATAAGAAAGCTATCAGACGACAGGTAAAAATTGATGAAAAAAATGCCAAAAATGTATATTGGGAGGGACAACACCCCAATATGGTCCATTCGGCTGCATTTTATATTTTGGCGATAGATAATTGTTCAAATGTCATTTGTATATTTTTTGTAATACATAAAATTCATAGTATTTCTGGGACAACGTGTGAAATATGTCTTTCTCTATGTATTTAATAATACCGTAGATTTTGAAATGAGTGGCTGGATTGAAATTGGACTGATCAAGCAACTAATATTTCAGGTATACCATTCGCTCTGAAGCAGGCGGGCTTTGCCTTTGGAATATTTTTGTTGATGTTAGTTGCTCTCATAACAGGTGAGTCATTCGTGGTATCTCGGCAAATTCCGTCAAAGCCCGTAATCATATGTTTATTTGATTTTTTAAAATTATTTTTTTGTATCTTCACGAAATTTGACAATATTTTAATTATTTTTCCACATATTTATCCATTAAACAATCAGGGTTTTATGCCTGGTTGCATCTATTACGGTAGAGTTATTTTATCGCTTTGAATTGCATACATTTTGCGCTCACGCATCGTACACAACGCGCTTAAACTCCACTTGATTGTCTTACTGTATATGTTTGAGGCATCTTTCTTGTATAAGATTTTACTCAAACGGAAGAAATGTTGGTTAAATACACGTACACGTGTAAATTTTACAAAAAAAAAAAAAAAAAAAAAAAAAATAAAAAAAAAAAATTTTCCTTTTACTTTCAGATTATTCAGTGTTAATTCTAATCGAGTCTGGGAAACTGTCCAATACAAACAGTTATCAGGTACGTATAAAACACATATCCATGATCATTATTGCTTATATGCTTATGGACATATACGAATTTGCTTCTCTTGTCCCGTCTTCCCGTCCCTTTCTCTACCATTCTCTATCTCTGGTAAAAATATATGGTTCACTCGTGTTCCCGTTCATTCATGTGAAATAAACAGGCGTTGGGGCGAGGATGAGATGAAATCGAGACACAGCCAAATCAGAGCAATCAAACTAAGGCAAAAAACAATAATAAAAAAAAAAAAGAAAAGCGCAAAAATGTGAAATATAATGTCCCTGTCTCATTCGGTTTGGGTATTTTTCGTCTTTTCAATGTTTTTGTTTTGCATGCAGAAGCATTTTGAATCTCCTATTTGTGGATTAAATGTTTGTTTTATAGCATAAAAGAAACAGAGTCACGTCTTCAGCATTTAACAGTTAAGTTGTTTTCGTTCCAGGACATGATATTGGTAGCCTGTGGACGACCAGGGTTCTACATTCTTACCACACTACAGTTCTTATATCCTCTAATAGGTTAGAGTGGTTTAAATATTAATTACAGCATTTTTACATATTGAAACATTGTTTTGAATAATTAATTTTTATAATATTATGACTGTTTTTAAGCTGTGCACGTCTTATTTTATAAATTATGATAAATTTAGTCTGTGTTTACGTTTATTGTCATCTGAAGTAAACTTCATTTAAGAAGAATTCATTAAAAATAGTTAAAAGGACATCACGGTAAAAAATTATCATTGGTTGTACCTGTTTAATACACTTCTTGTAACGATTACCAATGTCCGGCTTGACCACATCTTTGGTTCGGGAAACCCCTCTCAAATTTAGGATTGATCACCTGACGTCACAGTTTTGACAACGGGGAAATCCGTTTGGTAAACGGGCAGAAATGACAGCGACAGTAGCGACAGTCAGTGAAATCTCGTTTTTCAGCACTCGATTTTGTAATGGGTGTAGCAAATGGTATTTGTTAACTCTAAGACAATTCAGAATGACGAAATAAGTGACATTAATCACAAACATTGTCGTGAGCTCTTCAGACGGGAAACGAATTGTATTTACAGGCGACAGTGTTTTTGCGCGTGCGTTATCTTATGGGAGACGCCAAAAAATTACATATCCAGACTGTTGATCAGCAGATAAGGAGTTCCTTTTTATAATTATCGATTAACCCCCTTTAAGGGCGGCATATTCATAAGGTGATACACTTGATATATATATATATGTATTGAATGATGGCAAATCAGTTTAAAAAATTGTTTTACCGTGATGTCGCTTTAAGCTAAAAATGATCGAAAATTGAATGACAGGAGGACGGCATTACTGAATTAATATGACAAGGGAAATAACTCTAAAATATATTCTGTAATTGGTACATTAAAAACGATCTATTTACAAATCGTAGAATATTTATTCCTACCTGATAAATGAAAAGATAAAAAAATTAAATAAACAAATATAGATAAATGAATATAAAAAATAAATAATATTGTCTTAAATTGCCAACTATTTTTAGAATTGTTCTCTGTTTCAGCCATGATAAGCTACCAAGTCATTATAGGAGATACAATCACCAAAGTTATAGTACGTATTGGCGGAGAAGGTAAGTGTACATATATCGACCTTTTAACACACTATATATAATTGTTGATTTAATTAGCAGGTTTTTTATCGCCATTTATTTATTTAACACTAAATTTATTTCGAAATTTACATCCTTATAGTGCATATGTTAGTCGTAGTCGCTAACATTTGGAAAAAACAAGGGCAGATAACTCCAGTAATAATGTGTTTATGAAACTTCAGGTAATTACAATGCTAAATGCTAAATCACTTGATTTCCTGATGAAATCGAAGTAATTGTAAAAAAAAATGAATATTAAGTTGGTTTACTACGATGGTGATAATGGCTTACTAGATAGAGATGTTGAACTTATCACTTGACACGATAACATATCGTCTTATCTAATAAATGGGATTTGAAACGCTATATGTCATTCTTTTTATTTTTGTCATCCAATTTTCAGGACACCGTAAGAATTTCTTCTAACTATTATTTCAAAAAGATTTCAATAAAGATAGTGGGGATTCTCTAGAAGATATATGCTGGTATCCCCAGTGCTTCATTTATCCAGCAATGAATACGCAAATTTTGCAAGGTAGCGGTTGCCTAACTTAAATGGTGACAGTTGGTTATTTAAAAGTCAACTCACTTGTTCAGGATATTGCACAGTGATCATTTACGAATTCAATGTTTTGATATAACGGAAACAGATTTGCATGCGTTTTTAAATGGATATTTTGATTAAATGTGGTATTGGGTTTTTTTCAATCTTTCACAATTCATATTTAGTTCTTTGTCGATTATATATTTGCATACGATGAAAGTGCTCGAAAACCGGGAGGATGGGGCTTACATTTTCCCCTTTTTTTAGAGGTATTGTTATCCCATTCAGGGGTAACAAGGAACACTGTACTATGATACGTGATGTTTATATTTATCTCAGAATTTAGAAAACAAATTATTTAGTCTGTTATTTAAAATTCCATTCTCTGCTGCAGATTCTCATTTCTAAAAGGATGTTAGTCTGAAGATCAAAGATTAAGGAAAGGCAAACGTTACTGCTGTTCGTAATTTGGACCATCAAACAAAAAAATGAAATCCTTTTCACAAGAGGTTCAACTTGAGCATTTGGCCCCATCAACCAGATTTACAGGAAATATATCGTATGACAAAGAACTAAATTGATGACATAACTTTGTGTGTATCATATTCAGCTTCCTGACACCAAACCCGTTGTAGACTGGGAATTTTGACTGGTTTAGAGTCAAAGAATATTTGAAAATTTGTGAAGTTATATTTGCACCATCTTTATTTTTTTTGAATCAATTAAAAATACTCATAGTTTCATGTAAAAGACATTACTTAATACTTCGTGATATCCATGTGTATGTTTCCAATGAAAGATAACGTTATTACATGTAATGTTTCGGACGACTTCGACATATCGAAGGTTATATTATTAACGATGTCGACATATTCAGGTAGGACCGCTATACGGATATCATGTATTTAATTAAAACCTTTGGCTGTAATCATTCCTATATATACTGGACAACAAAGACAAGTCTCATTACATAGTACTTAGTAAACTGTTTACAGTAAAACGCAGCTTGTTGGACTGTACCAACTTTTAGCCTGAGATAATTCATAAAATAACTTGTTCACTTCTTTTTGAAACGGTAAACATATTCATTTTTTTTTTACTTTTCTGAAAACTGTCGGTCTGTCAAGCAGGACATCATTTATCTTAGCCACTTTGTTATATTTAAAATTTATATGCGAACTGCTACAGTTTAGTGTAGTAATAGTGTTCGGTTTTGGACCTTTTTTGTCCACCACTTGTTGTCCCTAATGAACTCTTTGTTGATTGACCTTTAAGAATGTAATATTAATAGCTGTGATTTGTATTCTTTCAGAAACGTTAGGAGATACTGTTCTAGCCAACAGACAGTTTATCATATTCCTGGCTACAATACTCGTCACGTTACCACTATCATTATATCGAGATATAGCTAAACTCAGTAAGGTAAGAAGATTCGTCATAATGTCACAATATCGAGATAAAGCTAAACTCAGTAAGGTAAGAAGATTCGTCATAATGTCAAAATATCGAGATATAGCTAAACTCAGTAAGGTAAGTAGGTTCGACATAATGTCACAATATCGAGATATCGCTAAACTCAGTAAGGTAAGTAGATTCGTCATAATGTCACAATATCGAGATATAGCTATCTCAGTAAGGTAAGTAGATTCGACATAATGTCACAATGTTGAGATATAGCTATCTCAGTAAGGTAAGTAGATTCGACATAATGTCACAATATTGAGATATAGATAAACTCAGTAAGGTAAGTATATACATCGAGATGTAAAAAATGAATGGCGTTATTAAGAAAGTTCGCTATTTGAGTCAAACCGGAATATCTAATATCTTTAGCCCTGCCACGTTTTCGCCACTGAAGATTAGGAGCTGAAATTACTACTCTTTCTTATGTCAATATTCACCTTGGAATCTTATGGATAAAACATTGAAAATGAGGCACTGGTGAAATTCCCTCTCCAAAATGTTGATTTTACCCCCGTGGGTGTTCCTGTCTTTAAGTCCTTGTACGGATATGTGAGCAATCTGTTTTCCCCGATATATTGCCAAATTCTATGTTGTTGATTTTACAGTGGGTGTTCCTGTCTCTAGTCCTGGTGCTGTTACGGATATGTGTGTAATTTGTTTTTCCCCGATATATCGCCAAATTCTATGTTGTTGATTTTCTAGTGGGCGTTCCTGTCTCTAGTCCTGGTGCTGTTCATCCTCATATGTATCTGTATCCGACTAGGAGATTTTGCTCACAACATGTAAGTACACATGGACATATGCAAAAACAAAATAACTTTGTTGGAATGATTGTTTTCAAGCCAATATTAGCTGAATAACAACTTCAAATGTGATTATACAAATAAGGTTATACAGCAGGGACTCTGATCAGCAGAAATCTCTCTGAGAATTGGATACACCGAGTGGAACATGGTACACTGTTTACCATTTTACATTTTAAACCCTATTTATCATTACTTGTTGTCTTGCTTGCGGCAAAATGTGCTAATCCAGACGATTGTTTTTAATTTCCTCCAAGTTGAAGATTTGATAAACACGAATAAATTCGACATACAACTTTTTGATAACATTGAGTAACATGCATTATAGATGGTCATTACGTGTAAAAGTCAATGTAACTTTCCCGACATGGCGTCCAGCGTCCGGCGTCATCATTTCCCTTGAAAATTTCTCAGTCAAATTTTAAACAAATTAGGTAAAGTTTGAATATATACCTTACATTGGGACCAGAATTATATGAATATAAGTGTACTTGTACATACTGGTGTGGGTTCAACTCCCAGGGTCCCATGTGGAAAAAGTTTTGAAACTACAGATTGCTTGTACCTATAGTGCATTTCCCTTGTTCTGTAACATGTTATATTCACAAAGATGTTATGTGTTTCAGTCCACCGACTGATGACGCTTGGACTGTTATCTCTCCTAACGTGGCTCAGGCGATTGGTATCATGGCTTTTGGTAAGAGTATATGTGTTTTCTGTGATGAGGTATATCCATATAAGTATTCACGTTTTAATCTGACATAAAGTAAACATATCTATTTTGGCGCAATAAATTTTTAATGTACTGTGTAAACAGCGCACAGAAAATATACAATTTGTGGAAATATATATTTACGTAATATTTTGAGACCAAAAAGCGTTAAGGACAGTTTACAAAAATATAAAAGTATCCGTTTACAGTTCTGTGTTAAGGATGTATGTTACCTTATTGTTAGCTATTTATGTATACAGTTTGACCGATAGTTCAGATATAAGACGCATGCTCCTTGCATTGTGACGTAATAACTTATCGTACACATATACACATATCGATAGTAAAATCAAGTTCAGACTTAAGGCCGAATTGAAACTTAATGGATAAAGGTTAAAGGTGATAAAGGTTATAGGTGATTGGTGATAAAGGTTATAGGTGATAGGTGATAAAGGTTATAGATGTAAAAGGTAATAGGTGATGTTGTTTTTTAATCTCTTTCCAAATGTTTCATTTATATCGCCATATGGCTGTATTCATCCTTAAACGTAACGCACGTGTTTGTAATTACAGCGTACATGTGTCACCACAATACGTTTCTGATACACGGGTCACTGGAGAATCCAACCAATCAGCGATGGAGTTTTGTAACACATGTTAGCATCTTCTTCTCGATGCTCACCCTCATCATCATGGGGATTATCGGCTATGTGTCCTTCACCGGATTAACACAAGGTAAGGTCATCTATAATATTGAACCCGGACAGCCGGATTCCAACATGATGTAAACGAAATTGGTTCTTTAAATATAATAAAAAATTGAATAATTCTTTACTGTTATACCGAATATTTTTTCGTTTGTATGACTTACAACTTTTAAGTAAACAAAAAATGTGCAAACTTAAGAATAAGATACATTAGATCCAAATTACTGAATCAAAGACACCAGCTTCTTCTGTGACTCATGAGTGATGTCAAGAACTCAAAGTGTTGTAACGATTGTACACAAGTGACAGCACTTTCCGATACCAAATTTGCTATTTTACTGACCCACACCGTTGGTTTGTCCTTACTTTTAGTTCTAGAAAGCGAGTTAAATCCGTCAAATTTACCGATGTCAAAAACTAGATTGTAAGATACACAAGCCCTTATGTTAAATACCTTTCATACATTTGATAGTTTTCAATACTGTATGATTTCAAAAGATTATCAAGTACATGTGTTTATTCTGAATCGTGCCGTTATTCGATTTAATTAAAACGTGCCATGTGGATTACACCTGGAACTGAAATTCACCAGCAGTGTCTACCATATGTAATTTTAAGGAATGTAGAAAGATAGCACGAAATATCAATAATACCTAGAGGACAATTAAGAGAAATAAAAATAATTAACTTGGATGGTGAACTAGCCGCTTGGTGGAATAAATTTCAATTTTTGAGAAACCAAGTGATTTAAAGAGAACCGTTGATGATTGAATCGGATATGTAGCCTGGAAACTTTCAAAATGTACTTATTCAACAGATGACTTACTGTTTGAAATTATATAGGTGAATTTACTCTGAATACTGTATTGTTTGTTGTTATAAAGGTGAATTTACTAGGTATTTGTATTTTTTTTGTTAAAAAGGTGAATTTACCCGATGTCTGTATTGTTTGTTGTTATAAAGGTGAATTTACTAGGTATCTGTATTGTTTTTTTTATAAAGGTGAATTTACCCGATGTCTATATTGTTTGTTGTTATAAAGGCGATCTCTTAGAGAACTACTGTCACGAGGACGATCTGATGAATGTAGCCAGGTTTGCTTTCGCCTGTACTATCATGTTGACGTATCCAGTGGAATGCTTCGTCACAAGGGAGGTAATTTATACTGCTTATTATTACTCTCCATGTATAGTGATTATTTTAGTTAAAAAGTAATTCAAAAGCTTATGGCGGAAGTTATCACTAAAACATCAAATTGACATATTCAATAGTTGTAAATAACGTTTCAGAGCAAGACATATGTGATTTTTCATATTAAAAGCTTGAAGAAGTACACTTAATTTCCACATTTTAAAAAATTACCTTGAAGACTCGTTCCCAAAAGTATTGCAATATATGACTGGCGTTGCTTAGTTTATCAATAATGGCTTTATCCAATGCTTTCAGATAGAGGTAGATACATAAAAAAAAGAATCTGATTCCCTTCCCCAATTATTCCTTCTCCAAACACAGCGTAGTATTTATTAATAAAATGTAATTTTCACTCATCACCAAGCTAAGACTTCTGTTCTATAATGAATCTAAAGGCTGCATGATATCAAACTACCTTTGGGGTTTTTTTTATCAGTTTTCATAACACAGGAAATGGCATTTTGTGACGTCACTATCAGGGCATATGTGATTTACTGGTCACACAAGTTAGCAAAACCCATTTTTCACAAAGGATGAATTAAACACTGGCTTTATTTCCCTGTCGTCATGGTTACATATTTAAAGGAGTTATAACTTAACCTTAAATTGGTAATACTGGTAGGTGCTGACCAACGCCCTCTTCCCAGCCATGACAGATGAGTTACCGATATGGCGTCACATAGGTATCACAGTGGGCGTATCTATCATCACCGTTGTCGTCTCCATGGCAACTGATTGTCTAGGAATAGTATTTACTGTAAATGTAAGTATGATAATATGTCTTCATTTAGTTAATTGCTCAGCGAAGTTCGATGAAATACTTTAATACGATGATAGATGATATATGTGAGCGACATTCCCGTGACAAGACAATTGCGTGTTGAGTATGTACCATTTGTGATTTAGATGATTCAAAAGATGAGATTTATTTTATATTGAAATGTCTTTGTTACACGGACCCGAGACAGAAAATTTTGAAAAAAGTATTAAACCTAGTATGTTTAAACTAATAGAACTTTTTTTCACGTAAAAACACAAAAGAAATTACAAAACTGTCTAAATAAATCAAGGTTGCTTACATTTTAAGAGATCAATTGAGCCAATAGTTTTCTCTCTCCGGGTCTGTATTTTGTCTGTAATCATGAGTATGTATATTGTTATAAATGTTTCATGATGTTATTTTCCTATATCCGATAAATCAATTGACTTTTAATAATAAAGAAGTTGAAATTGTTTTTAAATTACATAACAATTTGTAAGTTACCAACGACATTTTGTTACAAAAATCGCAATCGTCATGGCAAAGATACACTATAATTACACGCTTTTCTAAACGTTTTCCTTAACTTAACACATGAATGTACCACAAATACGTGTTTTAACCGGTCATTTCTTCTCTTTTATAACAGGGAGTATTGGTAGCGTGTCCGCTTGCGTTTATAATACCGCCAGTCTGTGTGATGAAGCTGCGACAGGAACCTCTTCTTAGCAAGAACAACATCGTACCTATCTTAGTGGTTGTATTCGGAACTCTTGTAGTTATCATAGGCGTTGTTATGGCTATTCTGAACCTCTCGGAGGGTATTCAGTGCAGTCATGGTGTTGAAATGGCATATTGTCAAAAACATTCGCCAATAAGTCCCACCCCTTTTTCTAATCTTACTACCCCATCAACCAATTTTTCGTTAACACCATCCACGTAAACGTTGATCAATGTGCAATTTAAATGTTTTACTTTATCCCCGTTTTTTGATGGTCTCGTTACTAGTGTTATTTATACAATACCTTGATTTTACTGCCGTGTATCATTTTTGAAATATAGATTAGTGAAATAAAGGGTGATAACTCTAGGTTGCTTAGCCGTGTTTTCCACTATTTGGGTCTAACTGTATTCCTACTTGTTCATATTGTTGAAATGTTTCTCACGTTACAGAATCGCGGCGTTCTACAATTTTTCCGATTTATTCCAGACGTATCTTTGTATTAAGGTAAAGAGACTAAAATACCTGCCACGAAACCTGGTTATTTGCATCATTCAGGTAGTTATAATGGTATTATAGTCTACAGTTGGCCAAACGACACATCTCTATGTGATGTTTTGAAAAAAGAAACCGGAAATATAACGCCGTTTTTGATTGGATGATTTATATGATCTTACCACCATTGTTATTCATTCTGAGGCTTGTCCAAATATGGCGACCAAAGTCGTCTCGTGTAAAAAACAAAATCCATCACGGAATGCCCAATAGGTCAAACACACATAACATCAATTATCTAAACTTGAAAAAAAATTGTCTTTTTAACAAGTGTCTGATATTTCATAAATATACCTAGACGTCTACAAATTTCTGTAACAACATCCACACAATATGTATATTCTTAAAGGAAAAAAAAAACTTGCATTTTATTCAATGTGTTCATGTTTATTCTTTATATCAATGACAAAACAAAGCCCTGTCGGATATTGTTAGGGTATATGGTGTTCGTCTCGCCCACTCGTCTGTCCCATTTTGGTTAGACTATGTATATAGGTTGGTTTCAGATATCAGTGTTTTTTCTTTACTTTTTCTCTTAGATATGCATTAATGACATGTATTTTAACTGTCAAAAACATATCTTGAATATTTGACACGTTTTGCATTTCTGTAGAGCTTTCTTAACCTGTTTAAGTAATGGACAGACCTTGCATTTTGCTCCAGTAAAACCAATATTAAACATCATTGAGGGTTTATAATTAATAAATGAAATCTGTAGCGTGTTTCAAAGGACGCGTTTCAAACAGTCTGCATGTATGAAAAATATCACATTTAAATGAAAATGCTTGTGTCAATCCGACGGTTTCCTTTACCTTAATATAAAGAACAACTTTAACAGCGTTTCTTGATATATGTACATGTATATATGTTCGTTTGTATCATTCAGAGATTATCTAATTAATTCATTGATTCTATTTATTTGATATACCATTCCAAACATATTTTTTATCTTTTTTTTTCTTATTACAACTGTTTTCAACATTTTTAAAAAATTGCTAAGCGTTATGCGTTCTTTATTTTCTTAAAAGTGGTGGACGTTTTAGAATCATTTACGGCAAGTTACGGAAATTGTGTTCAGTAGGAAAATTACTTGTAAAGCAAACAAACAAACAAACAAACAGACGTACTACTATAAAATAAACCATGAAAATCTGACGCATTTTGATTTGAAGTGTCTAAAATATGATAAACAGATAATATCAGATTTTATTTCAAATTATAAATCAGATTTGTCTGTAATATAATTCTTAATTGATTTGATGGAAGCACGGAAAAAACAAATAGATTGGAGTAAACCAGTAGTTGATTATCCACAGATATAATTATTGCTTTGTTTTTCGTTTGTCCGCTTCATATGTGATATGATATGAAATCCGTTATTTATTATTGATTTTTAAAAAGTCTCTATAGAGTATATATATACATACATATATATTTGAATTGAAATAAAATGGTATGAAATAAATTTGCGTGTTACTCATATATCGAGTATGTCAAACAAAATCAATCCGATGTATTGATTCAATATGTAACACGATGTTCATTTCATTAATCTTTAATTATTGACATGAAGGTGGGCGTGTCTGATGTCCCTGACTGTTTCTGGTTGTTCTGTTGTTTACCTTGTTTTCATTTATGAACGTGGCATTACTTACTCGGATTGACCAAGATTAATATGGCGGGTGTCGTCAATAAAGTAGACGACGCTTTCCCTTCCGTGACAGCTGGTCTTATTCTATATCCACATTTTTAGGAGTAACCTTGTGAATCTTTCTTATTGTTGAGATTTGCTCAAGAATCTTCCGGCTTGAATTTAAATTGAGATTGTGCTGATATGTTAGTATTTTCTTTTGTTTTTTTATGAAGTCTGCATATCGCTAGTCATCTTTAGCAAAATATAGACACTACACAGGTACTTATAATTCAAGATCAGAATTTTATGTCGTGTACTAAGTTTGCCCCCTAATTGTACTATAACCTACGTTGTCAAGTGACAAATTATCCTGGTTTCTTGTTTACTGTACACTATTTTGTATGGGACCCCTCTTAAGACTGTAAAGTGACTCCTACTGGTTTGTTGTCCAATTCAAGAAGTTTTGTAGAGATGTATCTAATCATTTGAATATTGTTTGAAAAAATAATCTTTTTGTTACCTTTCCTGTAAACAAAACGAACTCCGCTTGCTTGATGACTAAGGAAATCCCACCTATACATCCATTTTTAAAGGCGAAGTAATGGGCAATACACTCGGTTGGTACACTAATTGGCCATTTAATTATAAGTATACGGACCTCCCTTGTTTACACTGGACTCCAAAACGACCTAACATCCATATGAGGGAATTTGAATTGCTGTACCGTTTAGTTTTTAAACTAAAATATTATCCAAGTTTCTTGGTGCCCTTTAGGCCAGATAAGCCTTATTGCGATACTGTTTAATCTGGAATAGAAACTAATAGAATTTGATTTTAAAGACTTCCGAAAAGTCTTGTACAATCGTGTACATCCTCTTCTGAAATTCATTTTTTTGTAAAACGCTTCATGTTACCATATTCCATTTTTGTCTAAAGACCCGCCCACATTCTGCAGTTATAGCAGCTTTCTTTTAAAAAAAAAGATGCTGGCGTGTGTTTCATGAAAGGTACGTAAAATAAAATCAAAAGGAAAAAAGGAAAAGAGGTATACTAATGATGAACTTATGCTTTTTCACATTAATATATATTGTTGATATTTTGATATAGCATGTGATATACTGACCACCAAAGTTTTAAAACATGGAAATGGCCGACTGTTGTTCAGCCGCTTACCTCGATTTTTTTCCTACAGAGATACCTAAAAAAGAAAAGCTTCCTCTCAGTTGTAAAATAAACTTAGTGATTCCAATTTCCCTATGGTAAACTTTGTATTTTCATTAAATAATATTGTATGTCTCCCTGACATAGGGGCTTGTTCTCGGTACCATTATCCTCGTTAAAGATGTCGACAGCTGACAGGTAAACTTACACTACAAGGATTCATAAGATGCAGATTAATCACGAATTTGGGGGAATTTCAACGTCGTCACCATGATCTCATTTGGAAATATTTCATTTCCTTGTACCGTAAAGAGATGTGTTCGATGTATATTGCCCGGATGTTGCATTCTTACAAACCTTTGAGAAATCTTTACATGTTTGGCGTCATGGATGAAACAGAAGACGCTTTCCCTTTATGAACTCTGCGTACTTTTTTCAGGGGTCATTGTGTAAATCTTTCTCTCTTTGCATGCTCTGATACCGTTCTATCAATTTTAATGTTTGGATTTACTACGGAAACCAAACAACATCAACGAAATCTCTGTAAAGTCATCAAGCAGCTATTTTATCTCACACGGTACTAAGTTTAGATCGAGGTTACTGAAAAATAATCTAATTTACTTTATCTTTAATATCAACTAACCAAAATCAAATGCAAATTTATATTTAAAAATAAGTTAATGATATGGATAAGTATTCGAAGGCTTGTCATAAACATCAAACCTATCTCTGACTCGAGGAAGTCAGTGTACAGGAAAAAGCTTCGATACACAAACACCACCAAAGTAAAATTACTGCAGGAAAATACTATTTATTTACTTAATTTCATTATAATAAACAGCATCAACAAGGATATGTGATGGTAATATAACAAAATCAACAGGGATATGTGACGGTAATATAGCTAAATATAACTAAATCAACAGGGACATGTAACGGTAATATAGCTAAATATAACAAAATCAACAGGGACATGTGACGGTAATATAGCTAAATATAACAAAATCAACAGGGATATGTGACGGTAATATAGCTAAATATAACAAAATCAACAGGGATATGTGACGGTAATATAGCTAAATACAACAAAATCAACAGGGATATGTGACGGTAATATAGCTAAATATAACAAAATTAACAGGGATATGTGACGGTAATATAGCTAAATACAACAAAATCAACAGGGATATGTGACGGTAATATAGCTAAATATATGTGACGGTAATATAGCTAAATATAACAAAATTAACAGGGATATGTGACGGTAATATAGCTAAATATAACAAAATTAACAGGGATATGTGACGGTAATATAGCTAAATATAACAAATTCAACAGGGATATGTGACGGTAATATAGCTAAATATAACAAAATCAACAGGGATATGTGACGGTAATATAGCTAAATATAACAAAATCAACAGGGATATGTGACGGTAATATAACAAAATCAACAGGGATATGTGACGGTAATATAGCTAAATATAACAAAATCAACAGGGATATGTGACGGTAATATAGCTAAATATAACAAAATCAACAGGGATATGTGACGGTAATATAGCTAAATATAACAAAATTAACAGGGATATGTGACGATAATATAGCTAAATATAACAAAATTAACAGGCATATGTGACGGTAATATAGCTAAATATAACAAAATTAACAGGGATATGTGACGGTAATATAGCTAAATATAACAAAATCAACAGGGATATGTGACGGTAATATAGCTAAATATAACAAAATCAACAGGGATATGTGACGGTAATATAGCTAAATATAACAAAATCAACAGGGATATGTGACGATAATATAGCTAAATATAACAAAATCAACAGGGATATGTGACGGTAATATAGCTAAATAT